CTGGTTGGTGCTGGTTAATATAACAGCGGCGAGCTAATGCTGTCTCCTTTTGAGGTCTTCCCAGACAATCGAGATGAGTCGATCGTTAAACTCGGTAGGGCCTCAACTAGTGTTTATTGTTAAGTTTTGTGTTTAGTTACGTATATATTATGCCTGCATAATTTTAGTGTCTGCGACCTGTGAAGATTAGAATTTGCTAATATTAACAAGTATGTTTAGTTACGTATATATTATGCCTGCGACCTGTGAAGATTAGAATTAGCTAATATTAACAAGTGGTTGGCTAGCCAAAGGAATGCAAACTGTGCTAGCAGGATAGCAAACTAGCTTTATGTATATGGGAAGATGTAGCCTGCTATAGCCATGCAGGGAGTGTTAACCCAGTTTAACTTGGAAAAACACAGTGTTCATTCTTGTGTGTTATCTTTAAACCGCATTACGCGGTACGATTTGTAGTTTAGGAGTGTTTTGCCCGGTTTAGCCTGAAACTAAAGGTTAGCGGCATAGCTATCGTTCAATGCGCGTGAACCACGTGGCTGGGCCCTTTCCAACTCTTGCTTGAAAGACGTTTCTCATATTGCACCTCAAAACTATTGCCTTTTATTTCTGTGCTAGCGTTAATATTTGGGACAACAAGGGTTCTTACCAGGCGATGCCTTTAGGTGATCTGCATTCTCTGGAGACTTTAGATTTGCAGTGTACTGTGAAGTCTGTAGTAGTAGACAGTGGAACCAATCTGTCAAAAGTTGAAGTAAAATGGCAATTTGTAACAGTGAAAACATTTCGCGTAAAATGTAGTTTCTGTGAACAAAGATGTTGGGAGAGACAGCGTTTTATTAACGCTATTCAACTTTACGTGACAAACCCTTTTTCTATCTCTGAATTCTTAGTGATTTTTATAAAAGTCCCTTCTGAGAACCGTCATATTGTTTCTTCACAGGTACAAACCAAAATGGATCGGGTCATCCTCAGCACAGAAATCAGGTATGCTGTTCTCTGAGGACTTCATACTAGCGATGATGTATATGACAGGCTCCTATCGAAGCCGTTCATGCTCATATAGCAGTGAGCGGTCAAACGGAAGCCAAGAAGAAGACTTTCACCGACGGTCGCTGCTCAGTTTGAAAGTAACTGGTCCAGCAACATTTAGGGGAAGGACATTGGTCTAAAACATGGTTAATGACGGATCAAATTATCTGCAGTGTCAAGTCTTCTGTTTTAACTCTTCACTCATCTTTCTACAGTGGTGTGAACATAGAACGGATAAAATATGAGCACAACGGCGCCACATGGAGGTAAGTTTTTGAACCACCCCTCAGTAAAAAATAGTCCTGGCTGTGATGACACACTTGCCCTCACTGAAATTAGGCTTGATTGAGATTTTATTTTACTGAGCCACATTTATAAAAGTTCTGAGGAAGGATTGACTGATCGGAAATGCATTAATAAAATGGTGCTTCCTTCAGGTGATCATCAGGGCTGACCAGATGTGACCGAATTAGGACGGCTTCAGGCAAGGTAACTTGCTTCTCTCCCCGCTAGATGGAGTCCAAAAGTTAGAGCATGCTATCCTAAGGACCTGGGCTTGATTGTAGCTCTAGGTTCTCCAAGTGCATGCAAGAAAATAGGGTGGTCTTTGACTGTTGTGGCCATTTGTGCCACTAGCAGCCACTCAGCTGTCCTACACCATAGCCTGTTAGTTCAGCATTCACAAACAATTAAGCTGTTAACAGATGTTTGTTTCCAACCATGTGTTTCTTCTAGGTATCACTCTACTAATGATAAAATGTCTGTCCTTGGGATGTACAGGCGCTCGCCTTCCTGTCTTCTGTAGGTGTGTATGTCAACACCATCTCATTGCTGAGGTTTATCTGATCTATGATGACCACTTAATAGAGTGACTGTTGGATGAAACTTGCGGATATGGGGCTGAGATCAGCCCCATGCAGCATCTTTAGGAAAGGTTCTTGAATTGTACTAATTGGGTTTTTTGTTTTGTTTTTTGCATGTTGGTGAGCAGCCTGCCAAGTTGAGTGGAATCTATACCCATGTGGGTGAACTGCTGGAGGCCATCCATAGGAGGGGTGAACTGCTGGAGGCCAAACGCTCAATGGTCTTACTGACTGGAATCCGAAGCATGAAAGTGTACAGATGATGCGGGGAATAATGGCACTTATAGCAAGATGTAATATTGGGTCAATTTATATTCACTGAATACAAATAAACTTTGACTGTAAATTTGTGGTAATGTTGATTATAGGTGTTGACTACTGGATTTATGGGCTTTCAGTAAATTGACATCTGAGTACTGTATATATTAAGTGTCTGTAAAATGAGTAATTAAACCCACACCTTTTGGCCCAGTAATATAGGAGTGAGTGTGTGCTGTATGTAAATGGTTTTGACCAAATACAATAAACCTCAGCTGCATGTGGCACCTTTTGGCCCAGTAATATAGGAGTGTGTGTGCTGTACTGTATGTAAATGGTTTTGACCTGCTTTTATGGGGAGAATGAGTCTAAACAATTGCCATTAATTGTAATAAAACCCCTTTTATTATATAGTACATCAGAGCTCGTTTTAAAGCTGCAATAAAGCCACAACAGCAGTAGTAGGTGACAAATCTGCATACCAACAAACATTAAGGCCTAAGCCTGGCTGTTTAAGCTACAGCCAGGCTGTCAGAAGCAGCCCATCTCTGTAATTCACTTCATAGCTGCCTGTAGTCAGTGCTACCTAGACTGAAAATCAGCCATGATCTTTGATCAGCGACCATGTAGTCCGCTTCCATCAAGTCCAGAACTGGCTGCAACAGGTGGGGAAAACATGAATTACTACCATGTATGATGTTTTGTAAAGTGAAATACTAAAGTTGTCTACTATACCTAAGTCATTCATTTGAGATGGAAGGCAATCTTCTGCCATTTCAGAATCTGGGGTGCTGCTGCCGCTTCCATCACTGTATGTGTCCCTGTGTCCAAAGGAAATACAGTTATTAATGTGGGGGGAGGGGGGATGTCTGCACTGGCATGTATTAAGTTCAGACATATTTACCGTGGAGACAGACGACAGCCCTTCTGTAAGTAGCTCTGCAGCTTCCCGGCAGCAGCCAGCAGCAAACCCAAGTAGGGTGGTGATGGATTTATGGGGCGAGAGGTGAACTCGGGATGGTACTGCACTCCAACAAAATATGGATGATCTGAAAGAGACTGAAATCTTAAACTATGTAAAAGGAAGCAGTGGAATTGTTGACACACCCCCTAAAAAAAAATAAATAAAAAGCTAATGTTTCATTTTCCATACCATCCAGCTCTACAACCTCCATCCTTTCCCCTTCCACATCTTGACCCACAAAGTGGAAGCCCTTGTCTTCAAAGTGACTTTTCAAGTCAGGATTGACCTGTACAAGGATGACAAACTGTTTAAAAATCCACTAAGAAAGGTTTTTCTGCTGACCAACTGAGACCTTAACATACCTCAAACCGATGTCTGTGTCTTTCATCTACATGTTCTGCATCTCCATAAAGCTTGCCTGGAATGTGGAACAGCTGTAAGCACAGTGCAGGTGCAAAAACATCAACTACTGGTTGAACATGAACTGAAAATTCCGCTTACGCAATACACTGCTGTTAGTCTTGAAAATAGTCCGTCTCTTCCCTAGCCTCATAGTGCCACCCATTTGTCCAGGGTTGTGTTCTGGCATATCGATCACCTGCAGAGGTTAAAGTGAGAATTTTATTTCAATTCACCTTTTAGGTCTCGATCGTTCCAGATTTAGATAAGTTCTCACTATAAAAACACTTACCACGGGATGCTTTGATTCTGGGTCAAATTCAGTTGAATTGGCATCTATGAGCAAAACCAAAAGGCATTCAATCAGTTGTTGCTTTAAACTATTCAATAAAAGGTTTTCCTTAATAAAAACAGCATTTATATTACCTTTCCAGCCCAGCACATTCCTGGCAAATTCACATACAGCCAGCTGCATTCCAAGACACACACCTGCGGACAGGTAGCGTGTTCATCAATGCAGCTATTCATTACACTATGGCAGAGTTGTAAAAACACTTTTCTCTGCATTAGGTCTGAAGAAAGGTAGTGTTTAGTGTAAAGCCATGACAGTAATCAGCTGTTCCATACCAAGAAAAGGTTTTTTCTGTTTCCTGGCCCAGTTGATGGCGTGCATCTTCCCTTCAGTTCCTCTGATGCCAAACCCTCCTGGAACCAGGATGCCACTAGGAGAGAAGGAAACAAAAGAACAGTTGATGAAATGACAGATTTAATGTTCAGACTATTTTACTTGCATAAAGTGGACCTCAGCACTCACTCAGCACTGCAGAGTTTCTGCCATGCCTCGTGGTATTTCACCGGTTCCTCCTGCAGAGTGCTCGGCTCCAAAGATGCCGAGTCTATGTACTGAAGAGAAGACACATACAAACCTTAACTGGCTGGTCTGAAAAGGTCAAAGATAACGATAGCTAAAGATATTTCACCAAGTTTCTGTTCAGGCCACGGTTTTTGTTGTTATTATTTAATTAGACTGAAACACAGTCGGTGAAATACACTGAATAATTTATATAACAGATAGAGGCTCGAATCTGTTGTGCTCCTAACCACACTCAGTTACAGCTGGGTGTAGTCATGTGTGGTCTTGTTCACGTGATCACAACTATTACTATCTACTTGATGTAGCACTGTGTAACAGAGCAGTGTTAAGTGCTGAACC